ACAGATTAGTTCTGTTTTTTTTTTAATTTTCCGTTGACTCTTAGTTTCGTTCTCGTCATCTTACTAACGATCTGAGCTCCATACCTGTCTCTTATACACATCTAGATGTGTATAAGAGACAGAGTTAGGTCCGGTCTCCTTTAATGTACATATGGACGATGGTCGAGAATGGCGTTGGCACATTGACCATATTCGCAAACGTTTTCCAGATGAAAATGCTGGTAAACCATCTTATGTCACGGAGCCAACTACAGCGGACGTTGGTAAACCGTCTTGTGTAATGACGCCAATGGCAATCGACGTACGTTGGGCTTCCCCTAGACATGTCCAGGGTAGTCTTTTGTTGCTGCAGCTCCAGCCATGTAGCTAACGTACGGTACGTTACAGGTATGTAATGTAATCACTGTAACTGGTATAGCCTAGTTGAAATAGCTCAAAAATATAGGTTAAAAATTACCCGATTTCGTTATTTTTGGCCGCACACTAGGTCAGAAGATGTCCTGTAATGCAATATAACTCGAAGAAAGATGGTCAGGAATGGAATACATTGAAAATAAGACGTTTTATTAAGAGCACGCATACGGATTTCGCCTTGGTGAAACTATACGCCCTCTTTCTAGATTAGTTCTGTTGATGCTGCAGTTGACATATTATACGAAGTAGTTCTAAAAGTCGCTAGTGAGTCGAAGTTTCGAAACCAAAAAAAACCAAATACCTAATTAAGTTGATTGAAATACATTGAACCTAGGAGATAATAGCAAGCAAATTTGGAACGAGATAAATTGGAATGGTACAGTAAATGAAAATCGCTCCATTGAAACCCTGAGATAATGATTTTTGTTACCATTTTTCAGTGAAAGCTCAAAACGACGATTCCAACTTACTGACAGCATGTGAAGGACCTTACCCAATAATTTATTTTATTTTATTCCTTTCAGCCATAACAACAATAAAATCAATAAAGAAAGAGAAAAGCTGAGGAGTGGCAAAACCGGTACAAAATCTACTATCACCGGATAGGGTGTGCCCCTCCGACTCCAATACATATATATACCCATATAATATTACCCAATACAATTACACGAGGTCGAAGAAGCTATCAAAAAATCGAAATCTGGCGCATCAGGTGGACTGACGGCCACCTGATGCGCCAGATTTCGATTTTTTGCTCGCTTCCAGCAGGACTTTTGAAACTGTTATCACAAGTGTGGTTAGTCTTCTTATGCAACCTGTTAAATACTATCTTTACCCACCTCGCTTGATAACCATTTTAAGTCAGGATCTAGAATAGTGTGTTCGAATTGGCGTGGTATTAAGATTATATATGCTATTTCTAAAATATATGACGCTATTCTTAACTAGCATTTGATGCGTTAGTTTAAACCAGATAGGGCACAAGCTGGCACCTAGCCAGGTAGAGGTGGTTTGGAAAACATTTTGACTTACCCCTTCTTATGAATTATGCAAGTCATAAAAAAGTAAAGCTGTTTATCACTTTGTTTTCGTTGACTTTTCGAAAGAATATGACAATGAACCTAGAGAGAAATTAATAAGCTGTTTAAAATAATTAGGCTGTGGTCATACTATGCTAAAAGCTATTGCATCTATCTACAATGTGACCAAACTAGTATTAGGGTCTTCGGTAGTCCCTTGTACATTAGGACTCCGCAAGGGAGCACCAATATCATGCTTCTTATTTACAGAATTTGTTAACCCTCTCATGCGTGGGTTTGTAAAGAAATTTGATCCGGATGGTTTTCTTAAAACTCTTTTATGTTCTTTTATGTCATTTTATGTTAACGTGGTCGTTCTGTTATACAGCTCAGACTCCTTTTTATCGATATGTAAGTAATATCCTTAAGAATTCTGATCATCGTGATGAGGATCTGGCCAAGGTTAAAGATTGTGTGAGAGAATCTACTCGTACAATATTAAGTAATTATTGTATTAATCTAAATCCATCTCTTAATGTTCATGCAATGTACTTAGATCATACTGTTCCAGAGCATGAAAAATTAGCATTCTCATGTTTGCGAGTTAGGATCTCATAATATCAGAATCGAAACAGGTCGGTGGTCAAGCACCCCACCGGAAGAGCGATTATGTGAATGTGGAAAAGTACAAACGGAACTGGATGTTTTATGTGAATTCCCATTGACCGCCCACTACGCCAGAACATTGGTATAAAGTGTAATGATATTTATTCTTTATTAGCCTAAGTTATTATCTAAATTTGCTGTTGAAATCTTAAAAGCCAGTGAAAATAGTAACAGTGTAATTTAAGCTTTACCAAGCTTGATATGTATTGTAATAATTACGTTCAAACGTCTATTGGAACGTAAGGCAGCAGAACAGTGCCAATTGTCAAAACAGCGTTTTGACACTCTATTTTAAATGTCAGTGCATTTTAATGTTATTTATCGAAATAAGAAAAAAAAAGAATTATAATGCCCCTCCCCCGTTTGAAAAATTATAGATCCGCCACTGTTCAGTGAGACTAATAAAATAGTTTACTTTCCGACAAATGCTCGTTTTTGGATATCCTCATGATGCTTGGAATACACCTTGATCGGGGAAGCAACCTCGTGGTTTAGATTTCTGGCAAAATTTCCATAATTTAGAACTTCACTTTGAATTATAGACATGTACTGTGAAGTTCCCAGTGAACTTGTATTTTCTTAATTTATCGTAGTGTAATGTCACAAATTGGTGGCCTTACAATATACGGTAAGACATTATTCTAATTCGTAATTGTGTTGTTAATAATTCACAATCACTTGGATTAAGAAAAACATGGATTTCGCCATGATGGGAGGATAGTATTGTAATGTAATACGTAGTTTTTTTTTTAATAATATAAAATGGAAAACGGATTTGAAAATACGTTATTTAGTTAAATTGCTTACTCTTTGTTTCTCGTAGTTTTATTCAAACATTTTTGGGTTTGGAAGTTATTTTGACATTAATAAACATACATGAAGTCATATTACAGTAGCTTGATGCCTACCAAATAACTAATAAAATTTCACCAAAAATCGTCAAATATCCGTAGCTTCCAGGGGGCTTCGCTCCCTGGACCCCTACCGGTGGCAGCACCCCTGGCCGACAGCCAAGTGAGGCTCGGATCCTCGCCTAGCCCCCGCGTCGTGGCCTTTAATCCCCTATCGGGCAGATCCTGGTTCCATCACTGTCAGTTACATAAAGGATAGCGTCTGTTGTAGATTTTCCTGTTCGGATCCCAAATTGAAATTGTGAAAGTTTTCCTTTCATTGAATGATTGAGGCGTGCGCACAGTACTGTATACCCTCAAAGAGTTTACAGATAGTACAGATAGGTGAAGTAATGGTTTCTATTTTCTTTATGGCTTAATGAGTGATGATTGATTAAATGACTCATTGATTTATTGCATTGGTTGGTTAATCAATTGGAATAGGGAATAGGGATAATAAAGCAAGCAGATACATAATTTAGGATGGATTCATATTGTTCACTGGACTGCTATAAGTCGTACGTTGATTCAACGTCAGTTCAAAGTTAAGTCAACAATCCATTACGACGTTGTATTAACGACGACAATCCACGTTAAATATGGGATGGATAGATATTGTCTTCAGGAGGGTGATATACATATTCAAAGAAACACGAAAAAGTCGATTCAACGTCAGTGTACAGCCAGTGGCGTAGAAAAGTATTTTTCAATGGGGGGATGATTGAAAATTCTTAGAATGGACATAAAATTACTGATGTCGTACACACCCTTCAGTGTGAAAATGTGGCTTGCTTTGCAAACACATCTCTAACATCTAAGGAAAGAAGAGCTTAGATTGGTAGCAGATACAGGGACGTAGCCAGGATTTTGAAAGGGGTGGGGGGAGCCGTTATGCGAATTACGTAGGACCCCGGTGGGGTCAAGGGCGGATCCCCCTGTGAAGTAGCGCACTCTAAACGTTCTTAAGACTGTTTGAGAGGATAAAGTGAAAATTGCAATAGACGCATTATAAATAAGCGCAAAAATATTTATATAATAAATCAACAGTGGCAGACCAGGAATTCAAAAAAGAGGTGTGAACGACCACCCACCTCAGCCCCAGCATGGTTGGTAAGGTTGGTGAGGTAAGAAAATTTATGATTAGGACATCTCTAGATGGCCGGAAATTACACTCTCGCACTTCAACTTGATTATATTTTTCTTTTTTTTTTTTCTTAAAAAATGAAGGGAAAGGGGAGGGGCCTTGAATCCACCTCTACTCAAAACATTCTTTATCCAGAATAGTCATAATCACGAAAAATGGACATGGAAAACCAGATCACATCCTAAAAGCAAACAACAGTCACTAAGACATACATCAGGAGCCGACATACCCAGGGAAGGGCACAGATCTGTTTTGAAAGGTTGAGGGGGGAGGGTAGTTTGTGAAAGTTTGGGTGACGCCCACCTCAGCCCCTCCGTGGTTGGAGCTGAGGTGAGAAAATTTGAGGAAATAGTACCTCTAGATGGCCAGAAGTGACACTTTTAGCAAAATTCATCATCATCACATCACAAGAATAGTCAAAATGAAGCGCCAAAAAAATTCTCATGATCTATTTATCAGGGATTTTTGACAACCATAGAGATCGTATTAATGTGTGTGTGATATACCATATAGAAAACAAAGCTTAAAAACATTGTCTTTGAGTATGTACTTTACATAGGCCTACTTCAAAAACGTGATTTCACAACAACCTCAGCCCCACCATGGCTGGGGCTGAGGTGAGAAAATTTAAGGAAATAGTACCTCTCGAGATGGGCGGATTATGACACTTTTATATAGTAAAATTCATCATCATCACGTTGAATCAACGTCAGACGTTGAAGTCAATTTGTTGAACCTAACGACACAACAGAATTAACCTCGGTTTTTAACGATGACCACTTTACAACGTTAAATCAATGTCAATTTTATGATGTTCTATTGGCGTGTGAGGATCGACGTCCAATAGACGAATTAGACATACGATACCTGGCATACGGTAATCTTGACAGCCACACGTTTTAACCACGTGATCAACGTAACACTCGTAGTTGCAGGCTTGTACTGAGTACTGTGAGTATTTCAAAGGCTTAGTTCGGCAATTAGATTTGTATGGATGCCCGAGATTCATTACCTTTATAAGAAAATAATGAATATATATATATATATATATATATAAATTTAAAGGCAAATGGGATAAACCCATAAAAACAACGAGCAGCCACATAAATGCAAATAATGATAATATAAATTTTAAACGGAACAGTAGAGAAAATCCGATCAAGAATGACAAAACAAACTAAATATCCACTGGAAAAAAAAAAAATATATATATATATATATATATATCAGTTGGTAGAGTATCCGAACGCTAATCGGAAGATCTTGGGTTCGAATCCCGATGGGGACATGCGTTTTTTCTCAATAAAGTATATTATTACTATTATTATTATTATCATTATATATATATATATATTTATTTATTCATTTATTATCAAAGAAAGGTAAATACAGTGTTGTTGGAATAAAGAACATAAATACATCGTGTAGCTCTCAACGAATGTTGTCCTATAAATAAATAAATTGTTTAATGAAATTCCTATGACGGGATCCGAACCTGCGACCTCTCGCTGTCAAGGCGAGCGTAATAACCCGAGACTCTACCAGACAGCACTAGTCGGTGGTCTCACGGACTAATCGGAGATCTAAAGATACAATCTCTACTGTGCATCAATGGCGGCCCGCTGGATCTCAAAAAGAGAGATTCAATAAAAATATATATATATACATATACATATACATATATATATTATAAATATATTAAATATATATTATATATATTATATACATATAATATACATATATATTATATACATATATATTATATACATTAGGCCTATATATATTATGTATATTATATATTATATATATTATTGTACATACATATGTTGGTTCAAGTGAGATAAATTATTTAACAGATCACCCAATTACAAAAAATAAGTATCAATTATATAAATACCTTTGTACGTCTCATTCCAATGTGTGATTCGAATCCAGGCGAGATGGAAAAACCAAGAGATTTTACTAATGGTCGTTGCCCTTGATGGTGAACTAAAATCTAACAATAAGTACATTCTATTATACATAATTTACTGTATAGTATAGTATTCGCATTACTATGTAGCAAAATAGAGTATTCATCAGTGCCATACAACCATCACATTATTCACACAAAGTCATATTTACTTATATATATACGAATTGTCACCAATAATTGCGATTTCCGATATTTTTCAATGCAATCGATGTATAGAGTACACGCAAAGTGTATTTGATATATGCCTTTGTTTTGGAGTGCCTTTCCAACTGCAGAATTTATCATCAAATATATACTAATATGAATATAGATTTCAATATTTAATTCATACTAGAAAACATAAAATTGCATTACAAATACAGTATATAAAATATGGTATATTAAATTTATATTGATCAATGCACATCGCCATCTTCATTTCACCTACCAAAACCACATAAATTAATCACAATGTTCTGCAAAAACACTCAGTCCAATATTAGCTGGCTCTTCCTGGTTTACCACACGTCTCGCCTCGTTACATACAACTACAACTTTTTATATTTGTTTAATTGAATGTTTTTGATAGTTTTTTGTTTTTGTTTTGTTTTGTTTTCTTTCTTTTTTTTTGTATTTTATATATATATATAATATAATGTGGAGGCTATATATTTAAGTGTGATACGTACCCTTAATCCGGCTCCAGTATTATCCCCAAAAAAGTATTCATCTTGTTCGATGTTAATTCGCATATATAACCCGTAATTACTGCCGGACTGTTTAACTTTGCGTACTTCGTTCATGTTCTGTGGGTTGTTGAATGTGTAGCACACTCCCCATCCTGTGAGCACGCGCGTGAAATCATCCGCCCTGCAGCGCTCAATTTGTTTCCATGTGCACTCACGCAGCATATCTTCTATCTGGTGTGTCATGTTAAATATGTTTACTTTTTTATCGAGTTCACCTTCTTTCGATTTCAGGTAATCCAATATAGTCTGATTTGGGTAGTGGATACTTGACGTTGACAACCAGTACACGACGTCTTCAAGTTCAGGACCTACCATTGACGCTCTCCATTGGTTATAATTACAGATTGTTACAGCAGGAAAGTCCATATCATTGACATAGTTCATTGAGACTATTGTATTAATCGGACGGTCCAAGTATCGCAATACGTTATGAATTATTCCAAGATAGATAAACACTATCATCATGCTGGTAACAATGAGCATCCAAGCAAGCCTAATAAAAAAATATTGTAAAATTCAAGAATGTGTTTATGGAATTTATAAATAATGCTTGTAAGTATTTCCATTCTAAAGGCATGTTTATACAACATGCAACCACGATAATGATACAAAGCTAAAAGGCAATTGTTCATATAGAAAATAAAAGTTTTTACACTAGGACGATTCGATAACGATTTATCGTCTATACCATAACAAAATATTTTGACAAATCAAATCAGATGACGTCATAATCACTGAAAAACAATAAAATCGTTGAAAGTACAAACATGCCTTAGGAATATAAATATTTTATTGTTTCTAGTACACCTAATGCAGATACTCGCCATTTGAAATATTATGGCCTATTTTTCTTCTGCAAGGTACCGTAGTCCATCTTATTTTAAACTAATCCTCGTTTAAAATAAATACAGCTAGAGTCCTACCTCCTGGCTAATGATGAATCTTTACTCGTGATAAAGGTAAGCCCATGTAGCGTTGTGTTTTGTGAGAACTGCTCTAGATCTCCAGGACATCTCCTTCGTTGTGTATTATCGTCATCATCTGTCAATCTATATACAATCGAGTTTTTCGTCTGGGTAGCCGTGTCTTTTTTCAACCAAGCTTCCATTGTAAACATGTTGTATTACTAGAACCGTGAAAATCGAATGAACATCTACTAGGACTACTGCAAAATAAAATGGAAGGTTTTAAATAGCTCCAAATTTATTCTGGAATTCTGAATGACTTGAATCATGTAGTATGACGTATAATTCCCTCGTGGATCATGTGGTATAATTATTTCATGTTGATTACTGATGCCCTTGTGTCGTCGTACTCGTGAGATATACTAGGCATTTTTCGTTTTGACTACGCAGCCAGTCTATTATGAACTAATAGAGCGTAACAGACATCTGCGCATGCTCACAAACCTTACTGGCTATATCGGCGTTGTGATAGCTTCCGCGACAACCCCAAATTCTGAATTTAGCGTAGTGGCGGATTCTTTGGCAAACTGCTGGTAATTTTTTTGTTGGGGGTTGCAATTTTCATCGCATCCGCGATCGAGCATTGTTCGTTCAATAATGAACAATTGAGTAATTAAATGTTTTTATGAAGGCCTATTTATACACATACAATAAATGAGGAATGAATAGTCACAACATAAAATTAGGTAAATCAGGGGATAGTGAAAAAGGCCCAAGGGGGCTCTTACTTAGGCTTAGGCCTAACTAGGCTAGCCTAGCCTTGTCAGGGTGGATTTCGGGTAGGAGAGAACACATTATCTGGTGCCGCTAGCTAGGGCATCTGCGCTCATGATATCGTGGATCAACATTTGTTATATAAATACCTCTGTTTAAAATTGTCAGTACTAGGCCTACATTTATTTGTACATCATCGTTGCATTTGGCAAATTGCTTGAGCAGGCCTGACACCCCTCTTCTCCCGGTTCCCGACTCTTTTGACACCTAGGCCTAGGCTAGACTAGGCCTAGATCCTAGCCAACAGCGAAACATCACTCTGAGTTTTCTGGAAACTTTTTATTTCATATACAGTATTTGACTAAGTTTTTTTTTTCATATTTCCTTTTTCAAATATAAAACAAGGGAACATTGTTCCCTGGTAATAAAACCATGGTCGGCTAACTCCCCTCCGTAGGCCTACGTGTGCTGCGTCGTCGTAGTCGCCTTAAAAAACGAAACAGCTCTTGGTGTAATACGCGAACAGTGTCTTGGCGTTGCTGTCACGGTCCATTAGTTCGTAGTAGACTGGCCGTGTAGTCAAAACGAAAAATGCCTATTACTAAAACAGTCCGTCGACGAATAAGCTCACAAAGTTCATTGCTGGAACTATTTACAATTAACGTTTATGGTTAAGAATGAAAAATAAAGAAACAGTTGAACCGTAAATATATATAAAAATATGATCCCACCAACAAAAACCTTTGAAATGCAATATTTTGTCCGGAAAACCTTTAGCCTACAAATAAACCTTTATCAACTGAAAACATTCTATCAATGCCAATCAATAAGAAATATCAAAGATACTAGAAACACAATAGTTCTCCACAGAAAATGCATGGTGGGAATACAAACAATGGGGCGCCCCGTACGGCTGGATCTAAAATAACTTCTACCAAACTATTGTTACCAAGTCGTCGTGTTTGTCAATTCTCAATTAAAAAATTGTACACCACGATGCGCTATGGCGACGTACGGCATTGGAGGACGTTGCTGTGCAATGAATTGCAACACATTATACAAACAAGGTCATCATTTATATCTTTTTTCGAAGAATAGAGAAAGGTAAAATATTGCACTGACATTAAACAAAAAATAAGCTATATATTATAAATATATATTAACATTTTAACAAACTGGAATAGACACCCAGACAGTGACATCGGTGAATACATAACCTCCTTGGCAGAGGTAAAAATCGTTGCTATTATATTATCCAAATAAAAAACGAAGCAATTAAACCTAATCATAGATCATCAGTAAAGAATAAAACAACAATATAGCACAGAATCGTATGGCCGGACGCACTCTAGTAATAAAGTTTTCCTCCATTAGTGGTAAAAGATGGGCACCGTGTGCCTGTGGATATACTTAGCAACAGAAAGGCGCCCTGTACGTCGGGCCTGGCCCGAAGTATAGAAAACTTGCATTATAAAAAAGAAGGGCGCCGCCTACGTCGGGCCCAATTTCCGCCTCATTTTTACTATGCGAGTGCTCTATTTTGTATTTGTAGTATCTTTGGAGATACTAGACGACCGTGGTTGTATTTCCTTTGATCTAATCTTTTATTAAAAAATAAATGTCAGCTTCACATTAAATATTTTATTTTTGCTTTAGATATGGAAATAATTAGTAATGGAGTTACAGAAGGGTCGATATTAAAACCTATGTTGTGTTTATTACGTAAGTAACATTAAGTATACTTGTAAACATTTTGAAATAATCATGTATGCTGACGATACAAGTGTATTTTACAGTCATAAGGACATCATTCAATCCCTCCTAACTATACACCAAGAGCTATCGATTATCTCTGCCTGGTTGAAAGCAAACATTTACATTAAATGTAAATTAATCCAAGTATATGATATTTAGACCTACGAAAAAGAAATTTCATTTTTAATCCTTGGCATTTGACAAAATTTAAGGTTAAATTAGGTAAGTTAAATTCCTAGGACTGTTTCTGGATTGAACGCTGAAATTCAATTTTCACATTCATTAAATTGCAGCAAATGTTTCTAAAGTGACTGGTGTCCTCAATAAGGTAAATATCAATGTTACCTCGTGAAGTGTATTAATTATATATTACGCAATATCATCTTGGGGAACTACACCTGCTTTAAACTTAAATTGTCTATAATTTCTACAGTAAATAGGCTCTCTAATACTTTGTAATGTACTCATCTCCACCCTTCATCACCATTTATCTTTATTAACACAACAAATGAATAAATTTAAAAACATTATTTGAAACACACGGCCATAGGCCTAAATATTTTGTATGATATTGTTACATATATTGCATGTACCAATATCATAAGAAATGCAATTTTGAAGCATTGTTTCATCGTTATGGGATCTAATGACACGGTATAAGACTGTATCTTCAGCATAATAAGGGAAATAGGACTTAACAATATCAGGTAAATCAGGAATAAATTAATTGAACAACATTGGCTCGAGAACAGACCCTCGTGGAACTCCTGATGAATAAGAGGAAGCATCCATAAAATTAAATTTTTTTAGTTCGATTATACTCCATTTCAAAAGCGGCCCATGAATACCATAGTTGGTTAAATAGAGTGATTAACTGTGTCGGAAGGACTATTTCAGTCCAAAAAAATCACGTTTACGTGAGGGGTCTTTCTTTCGTCAATTAATTTAGCTCAATGATGACGAACAGTACGGATCAGCGTATTTTTCTAGTAATTTTCCAACTACAGAACAAAGCGAAATAGATCTATAACTATCGATACAAAACCTGCTATCAGCCTTGTACATGGTAATTATGATCGCATACTTCCAATTTGTAGGTATTTCTCCAAGTTTTAAAGAAATATTAAAAAGTATGCTAAGCGGCTCAGAGATATAGATTGCAGATATTTTTAGCATGGATGTTGTTTATTTATCAGTTTAAGAACTGATGGCTTGAATATTATTCAAGGATGGAATATGCAAGAATTATGAGGTGTGTAAGGAGTTGCTTGTTCAGAGGAGTTGGAAGTAATATAATCATTAAAGGCTTGAGCAATCTGATGTGCATAGACCCGTTAATTTTAAAATTAGATGGTACAGGTTTTGCTCGCTGAATTTTCACATACGATCAAAATTCCTTACTATTATCTGAGCACCTATTAGTCTAAAAGTGATCTTCATAAGGCATGCTCGTAGGCTGATACCATTTAAAGAAAGAAAATGTAAAGTAATGCATTTTGGCAAGAACAATCTTTCTTGTAATTATGTGATGAGGGATCCTCCATTAAATGTGGTAAACCATGAATAGGACTTGGGTGTCATAATTGACCCTAAACTTGATTTTAACCTACATGTAGCCGATGCGGCTCAGAGAGCTAATCGTAAATTAGGGATGATTTATCGTTCATTCAAATTTTTTTCAAATTTTTGAATAATGATGGTTTCTTAAAACTGTACAAGAGTATAGTTCGTCCAACACTCGAGTATTGTAATGTTTTGTTTAGTCCGATATATTCTAAAGAAGAGGGTTTATTAGAAAAATTTCAGGAACGTCCTACCCGTTTGATTCGGTTTGTCCGTAATTTAGCATATCCTGAACGCCTCAGGATTCTTAATTTTCCTACTCTTCTTTATCGTAGACAAAGGGCAATTCTGATCCAAATGTTTAAAATAATCAAGGGCATTAACAATATTCCAGTTGAAATATTTTTTGAATTTGATTGCAGGTCTAGGACACGGTAACATCCGTATAAGTTAAAGTTCAGATACTCACGTACAAGTATTCACCGTATACAAAACATAATTGCTTACTCACGAGGGCCTTATGCTCACGAGGGCAGTATGCTTTGCATCTATTTCCTTGTTTTTAAAGACGGGAGTCATCTCTACAGGTTCCAATCATCGAGCCCGGATACAAGTAAACAAGTAAGTAAACAAGATAAGCAACTTTTGTTTTAAATTTTGCCTTATTTCTATATATTTTGTATTTAGCCCATTTATTGCATTTTCTGATTGAACTTCAATTTTATATAACCTATTTTTCTTCATTATGCACTTCAGAAAGTCTACAGTAATCCAAGCTCCAATGGTTTTTTGTTGGTTTTTGCTTGGATTTTCGCTATGGAGCAGTCTTGTAAATATTGTCAAGGAATGGATTTTTTAAAACATTCCCATATTGTATTGATATCATTATTAAAAACAATTTTGCAATGATAAGGAAATAAATTTTTGTATAAAATCATTGATGTTGATCTTTGAATACCGAAGGAATGATCCGGACAAGATGAACTAAAAAGAAAAGAGCATAATAAGCTTCATGATCACAACCCCACTAATCCAGTGCGTTTTTTAATTCCAACTATAAGTTCAGGTCAATTAAAAAAAAATATGATCTATAATTTTACCAACACCAGATGTTATATCACCATTATATCTTGTAACAAATGGGACGATTTGAGTCAAATTAAGACTGTCAAGAACTGATGATAAAGGATTTATTATTACAACCATAAGAAATATTGAAATTGCCTGCTAACATGATGATAATAATAATAATTATTATTATTATTATTATTATTACATGGTTGAGGTGTTTTTCCATACCAAAGTTACTATCATGACATTTA